GATACCTTAATGCCTCCTCTACACTACTCGCGAAGTATCTTTGACGAAGTGCTCGTCGAAGTCGATCGCAGTACGAAGAACGTGACCACACTACTTCGCGAAGAGCTCAGTCGTCTTGAGTCTCCCGCACCCTTAACATGAATAACGTTCAAGAGGCAGCTGCTATAGATACCTAATTGTGTGAACAGTACGACGTCAATGCGTTAAATAAATAAATAATTATGTAGAAAGTTACATATTTAACATTTATATGTAAAAAAAGTATTCATAACTGGCGTACGCCGAGTAGTGTGGTGAGACGCTTCGTGTAACTTCGGGGTACTTCGCGAAATCCTTTGACTCTGGTGCAAAAAACCGACAGCGATCAGAAGTCGCCCGAGGCGAAGCGAGGTTGGACGAAGTGAATCGAAGTACCTATCTACACTATTCGCCTCGTCCAACTTCGATCTACTTCTACTTCGCGAGTACTTTAGAGGAGACATTAGATAGCAGTTTGAAAAAAAATTAACAAAATGGCGGATTGTTGGCACAAAATAGTAATAAGTTAATAAAAAAAAATAACCAAACCTATCGAGTAGACTATCAAAATAAAGGAAATTGCAAAAATATACGTAAGTTATATGTTTAAATTTAATTAGGAATAATAAATTGTTTTAAAAAGTTTTTGATAGCGTAACAATGGGCGACATTTGTGTTGGACCTCGTGCTATAATATGAAATTTAGTTCATAAGATTGTGTTGGGACACTAAAAAGTCTAAATGAAATAATAATTTTTAAAATCAAAAACCCAAATTGAAAAAAAGACAATTTTAAAGTAATGCACAAAAAGACCGAAACGATTGAGAATACAAAACAAAATTAAAATCCTACCATCCTACTTCCTACTAATATTATAAATGTGAAAATTTGTGAGGCTGTATGGATGTTTGTTACTCTTTCACGCAAAAACTAGTGAATGGATTTTAATGAAACCTTACAATAATATAGCTCATACATCAAAATAACACATAGGTTATAATTTATAAAAATATTGTGTAAATTGGCCAAAATTAAACGATAAATGTTAAGTAAGTCTGAAAAAAAAATCTGTCATCTGCGAGCTATTTTGGCGTGAACATACATCACGCGAAAACCTGTGAACCGGTTTGGATGGGACTTTCACTGGCAGATAGCTGATGTTATAAGGAGTAACTTAGGCTACTTTTATTATAGGATTCCGCACAAAAAAATTCCACGCGGCTCAAGTCGCGGGGAACAGCTAGTAAACTATAAACAGAGTAAACTCTACTTCGGTTTAACACACTATGAGCTGAAAGCCTAAGTTAAATACCCGCATTAAGATTAGTAGCAGGCGGGACTCAATTGCAAATTATAAACCGAAAGAAAATTAATAGGTTCCGCTGGGACTTCAGATCCGTAGTCGCGTTTGAGACAACTAAACCAATGAGGTAGTCAATCTATAGGTACTGTTACGAACTTGGAGTTCGAGATAATTAGAAACTGCCGATTGAATTACCAAAATTGACACTTTAATTACGGAACACTAATTAAAACTTAAAAACACACTAATAATAAAACACAATTGTATTACTGATCACTTTAGTTCGAAGTTATATCACTTCGAAGTATTCGCTTATATCGCCAATTCAATACTGCCTTGGTCGTGGTCTATACCGGCCTTATATAGGGCCTCAGATAGTTTCCAGAACCATATACTGTAATGACATCTAGAATGTTCGGGTACATATCGGTCCCGAAATTTCTAGAAGGATCTTGACTCTCCTAGTTCTGCTATTCGACATTAGAGGGCGCTAGTGTAACTAGTGTTGCCATGTACAAGACATTAATAGTGGCGCGCAGCAGTACTATAATAACGCTGTCCAAGTGCAAATCTATACATAGAATGTTTTCTGAAAATTTTAATTACGTTACGTCTTGATCGGTAAAGTCAAAACAATTTTTTTTCGTGTCTGTCTGTCTGTCTCTTTGAGAACACATTAGGTTCTGAAACTGCCGAATAGATTTTAATGAAATTTGGCATGGTTATGGCCCTGGAATACCATTTAGGATATATGTTTTTTAATAACGGTCAAGGACGGGTTGCACCAAGCAATACTGAAGATTATTTATAAACGATAGGTTTTGTATTTATGTATTTTATATATATGTATAGGTTATATATTTTTTACCATGTTCTTTTTTCATTTACAAGAAATAGAAAAAAAAAACATGGTAAATAATCGCTCATAAAAAATGACAAGGTTTATTCAATTGAATTCACGTGGTGATATCGGACGCTATACCTGAAGACCGGATTGCGGCGAGGCGACACAGTGTAATTTAGTATATCAGTTGATTTAATCTAATCCTTTACTTTATCCGACTATGGTGATGCAAAAATGCGGATTTTGTTTTCTTTTCTTTAGATGTGGTTAATAAAATACTGCTGATCCTTGTATTACTTAGGTGGAATAACTTGTGTACCAATATATAACTATAATGAGTATATCTTATATTACACTAACTGTTAAAACGTGACGTAAAGCTAGGATGAAGGTCGAAGATTTAAATTGTGCGTTTTTTTTAAATAGCGCCTGTCTGTTAAAAGTGAGAGATCAGACTTTCAGTTGATATGTATAGTCAACCTATTTACGTCACACCTCCGGCACAGGCATCTTCACAGTTCTGAGAGGGTTTTATTGGAGCAAGTAGCATCCATCGCGCTGCCCTACTGCGTGTTGACGGAATTAATTTAGTTTCATATATAAATACTAGCTCGCCAGGCAGACGCTGTTCTGCCCTCTCCGATGACCCTGTGTCCTATAAAAATTCTTAAATTCGCAATAAAAAAATTTCAGTGTCATTTATCGGGATAAAAATTATCCTATCTCTCAAGTTGCACCAAAATGCACACAGTGTGCAAAATTTCATTGAAATCAGTTCAGTAGTTTAGGAGTCCATCGCGGACAAACAACGTGACACGTAATTTTTATATATAAAGATATAATTTAATATATATAAATCAAATTTTATAAAGTGACACTTCCTAATATATATCTGTTTTGGTTCAAGAACTCAGGTGCTGTTATGTACTTAGCAATGATAAAAAACCCTCACTTGTGGATCTCACGAGCAGCTGCTCCTCACTTTGCAAATCGCTCCTGTCCTGTGTTAGCGATGCTGCCGATGTATTTTTAGCATCACTAAACAACATGTCCGATATTGTTTATGATACGTGCATTGATACAACCTGTGTATATTTTGTAGGGTTCCGTACTTAAAACATCCAACCAGAACCCTTTTAACGAATTAGTTCGTCTATTCGTCTACGTATGTCATGTTCATTCTTCTCAGTGAAGAGTGGATATTGCTTTTGATTTGATATTTGGTACAATTTGTTTACCTGTACTCAGGTACTTTTAGTAAAACAAACAATAAATCCGATTATTATTATTAAATTTGATTATCTTTTAAAACGGCTTCGTTTAAAGATTCACGTTCAAAATCCATGTTTCGTGAATATTTTTGTCGCATTTTATGACTAAAATTGTCAAAAAGAATTATCGTTTCCTCTTTATCATTGAAGTTGTAGTTGTAGTTGCAATCCTAGAAACTATGCTTGTAGTTATTCAAGACATTTTTTTCATTCAAACTTTAATTACATTTAATTATAACAAATATGTGCCAGTAACACAACCCCATTGCTGTAGAAATCTTGGGATTATTGATCAAAAAAAATGTGACAAGTAGTTTTGATATTAAGCTAACTTTACTCAAAGAATTCTGAAGAGACCAGCCATATATAAACAGTACAACCAAAGAGATTTTTCTTCAATTTATACAAACAAAATACGAAGAAACTTTTTCACCGACCTATTTTTATACTTTACAAGTATAAACGTTTATTGCTATTTTAGTTTGAATAGTGGTGTACCTAGTTCATAAAATTAAAATTAGGCCCAAAGTAGCTTTCAAAACGATTAAATTACGAGTACCATATTAGTCAGTTTTTAAACAATAGAAAAAAGGATTCTATGCGGTCGAAGTCCCGGGCACAGCTATAACGTAAGCATGCGGTGTTCGCGAACATGGGCAAATGCAAATGGATTTTTTGCAGAAGTTGTTGCTTAGATCGAACAATAAAAAAATGAGGATCACTCAATGTAACTCATAACCATTGAGTCATACTTCTTAAAATGGGCAGTAAGACATCACAACTTATGAAACTGTTCATTTCCAAATTGTGAAAATGCCTTATTATAAACACATTATCTGAAGGCAAATAAATGACAATGTAATGATGTTTGAAATATTATGTTGCATTCATAGATTATACATTGCGCTTTGATAAAATTTTCTTTATTGTTTAAACGCATCTTTAAGTAATAAATTATATTAAATTTGATTTTTGTAATTTATAAACTACAACAATACTGGTGATTATACTGAATCCTAATTCACACTTGAAATAAAGTGGATCAAGTGGTCAATGTACCACGTACCGTACAAGTACCGTGTAGTGGTGGTGTAAGAATATCTACTAACCCATACCATCCCGTGGGTGTCGTAAGAGGCGACAGAGGTAACCATTTCAGGAGATGGGCAGCAGCGTCTTCCTAATAATGACTGAAAATAAAAAACTGCTGTTATCAACCGGCGTGCCAAGCGTGACAGCTAAGACAAATACCCGCTATGAGGGAGGCATGTGTTTAGCAGTGGACTTTAATACACTGTAACGGTAACGGTAAGTGGTCAATCAGATTAAATCATAACATATAGCAGCTTAACACTGCTGTGTTTCGTATGGTGAGTGTAGAGAACCGGAGACCCTTTTTACTGGAAAGGAGGCATTCCATCTTAGTCCTCACGGGTAACAACCTATCTGCATTTTGATTCGCAAACGAGGATAAATGTAGATGTCTATGGGGGCCACAGCAACCACTTACCATCCGGTGGGCTGTGTGCTCGTTTGTCACCCAATCCTATAAAAATTTTTTTTGGTAGAACGTACTCGTAGTAAGCATTCTCGTCGAGTAGTTGTAAGTGTAATTCGTGACTTGTAAGTAGCAGCAACTTCCGTGAATCTACACAGGGTAATTTCAAAGGGTTATTATATTTGCAATACGGCGATAAAAGAAGAATAATGACGAAAGGTGAGAAGGTAAATCAAACAAAACAAACAGTTATTACGTTTAATTTAAATATAAGTTATGTGTATTTCTTACTGTCTAAATGCTAACATGTCTATATTTATTTATCGTTTCTAAAATAAATATATAAATACAGCATAAAGCGGATGGCAAGCATTTTGTTAATTCATACCTTTAAAGTATTAAAGATTTCGCTTAGTATGTATCAACTAAAAAAGTTTTAAAAGATTTGTTTACATATTTTATTTAAAAGTTACTAACCTTAATTGCTACTTTGAGTATTTTTTTTACTTTTAGGAGTCGAAGAGCGCCTTACAAAACTCTAGTTTAAATTACGCTGTTAATGATCAATTTTTTTTTCAAAGCAGAATTTGCTTCCAACAGTAATTTTGTATTGTCTTATTTAATCTTATTTAATCATACTTATATAACAAAACGAACTATAACACAGTGTACTTCATCGCAGAGTATTATAATATAGTTAATTAATATCTGTATCTACCTATCTGCGTTCAACAGGTTTCAGTACTTCAGTCGCTTTCTTCTTTTTCTCTAGGAATTTTTTTTCGTACGGACGACGGTCTACTGTTGAGTCCTCTGGTTCCAAGACAGGCTCTGGTTGGGGTTGGTCGGCTTGTTCTGGTATTTCGGGAGAGGCCTCAAGTAGCTTGTATGAGCTTCGTCCCGCAGGTAGGGCGTGGAAGGCTTCCGCTAGATCAGGGTTGATTTCTTCCAGTGGTGTGTCCCCACTTCTTATGTATACAGGCACGTAGCCGGGCACTGGAGGTAGAAACTGCCATTTTGGTCGGGCCTCTGTAATAAAATGAAATAACATTAGGTACTCTTTTTGTGTTTCTTTTTAAATTATAAATATCTGAATCTCTTAATTAATCTCTTAAACTAAGAAAATCAATATTTTATTTACAAACGTTCCGGGAAACGTTTTAAGCTCGACCGTATGGTCAAATAAAACGGATGTAAGCCAAAACGATTGATACGTTGTCACCCCTGAGGACGAAGATGAAATACCACGTTATCAGTAAAAAGTTGTAGTTCTCTTACAATGGGGTACGTAGTATGTTGCTAGTTTACGCTAATCGATAGAATTTACTAGTTAGTACAGACTAACTAGTAAATTCTATCGAATAAATTCATAGAATACCAGCGTAAACACAGGTTTACGCTGGTATTCTATGAATGCTGAAGCTGGAGCTACCTCGGTGGAGCTGACCCATTTGTCTTGCAGCCATAATACGTCAAGTACGTACGTACATATAGATAATATTTTAAACCAACGCTCAATCAACATCATCATAATAAACCACCACAAGCCTACTGCTGAACATAGGCCTGTTCTAAAGAATGTTTAATACGTAGTCGCTGAATAAGAAATATTATCAACACATAAATGTAAACCTATAATATAACATTCATAAATCATTTTATAGCTAATGATTGATTGTGAATATTGAGCTTGACGTTTTACTCGAACTGTATATTAAGGAAACCAGTTCTAACGGTCACCTAAAATAAAATTGTAAGTGACGGCTGTTATCTCCTAAAAACAAAAAATTCAACATTAAAAAAAATTGTAAGCAATAACATACGTTCAGAAAATCAATGCTATTATATTTTTTGTGTATATGTAGTACACAAAAAAATATAATTGCAAAAAATAATTACACTACTTAATAAAAGGAAAAGGTTTACAATTCGATTGTATCTTTTTTAGTTATGCGATTTTTACTAAGTGACCTCATAAACGAGAAAATATTTTACCCCTGGGCAGTGCCTGATTTAGAGTTCCGACAGCCCTAGGCTAACTAAGAATATGCGCCCCCACCGGCCTGTTCTGTCTGTGCCTGCCCAGCCCAAGAATATATTTACTAAATTTTATATTTTACTATCTTTCCACCCCACGGTTTTGCCCACATTAAATCAAATTTTGCTGATAGTAAGTGTCAACCATCGCCCGTGAACGGCTGCAACACCAGGGAAATTGCAGGTGCGTTGCCGGTCGTTTTTGAAAATAGTAAGCTCGTTGCTTGAAGGTCTCTAAGTCGTATTGATCCGGGAAAATGCCGGTGGTAGATGATTCCACAAAACAGTCTTGCGAGAAAGAAATCTTCTAGTAAATTGCACAGTTATGGTGTATCGCCAAGCATCCAGATGGTGTGGATGGTACGTGGAATTTGGCGGCTGGAGTTAATCCGAACAATTTATCTAAGTACTCCCCGTGGAAAATGCGATAGAAAATGCAAAGGGATGCAACATCTCTTCGCAGCGTCACGCCAGTGAGTCAAGCTGATCAGAAAAAACTCGGTGGTCTTCGATTCCAGTCACTCTTTGCTGGATACGGTCAAGTGGAAGGAGCTGGCTCTGGGGTGCCCCGATCCAGAGATGAAAACAATACTCCATGTGAGACCAAACTTGCTCCTTGTAAAGTTGCAAACGGTGAGCCGGCATGATATACTGTCCCACTCTGATGAGCATGCCAAGCTTTTTATACGCCATTTTAGCCTTCCCTACCAAGTGACTGCAAACTGTACGTCATTTGATATGTCGATGCCGAGGATTCCGATACTGGCTGAGGCAACAAGAGGAGTGCCTTAAAACTGAGGAGATACGACAAAGGGGTTCGTTTTAGCGGTAAACGCGCAAACTTGTGTCTTCTTCTTAAAATATTAGCATGGCTGGTGTAAAAAGCATCACCAGTGTTACAACCAGTAACAGTAACATATAATTGATATACATGCAGCGTAGGTGATAACAGGTTAATAGGCAGCCTTGTGGAACACTAGCATTAATTAGCTTGCAGTAAGTATATGCACCGTCTACTACGACCTTGATGCTCCGATCTGCAAGAAAAGTGATGATCCAATTGCACAATTTCTTGGGAAGCCCAAAGGAAGGAAGCTTCAAAAGAAACGCTTTGTCCCAAAGCCCATCGAAGGCCTTCGCTATGTCCAAAGTAACGATCATGGACTCTACTGCATCCGCTCATCTATGAGTCAGGTAAATTAGAAGATTAGAAATAGAACCAGCTGATTATTGACCGCATTGGCAGGTAATACTAAAGTGGCCCTCAAAGTACCTTTTGAGCTGGCAGCTTATAATGGATTCAATTACGACGGAGGCGATGGTGATAAGCCTATAGTTGGATGGGTCTCATCGGTCGACTTTTTATGGATCGGGTGCACTAAAGCTCTCATCCACTTACATTCGTTTAGGATTATGCCTAGGGAGTAAGAGTACCGGGAAAGACGCGTTATAACCGGTGCTTACTCCAGAGCACTCGTCTTCAGTACAATAGGGCTCCATCAAAACCACTCGACTTGTTGACGTCCAGGGAGAGGAGTGCTTTGCACACTAAGCGCTGTGTAAACTTCGAGTCCAGCATGGAGCAATCACACCACCGGGATGGTCGGCGGTGTGTATCCTCCCCCCCCCCCCTCCCATCAGGAGTCAAGTTGGACGCAAAAATATAACTTAAAAGATTGACTTTCTCCTTTGCGGCAAGGGCCAGTGAGTCGTTCTTCCTGTGTAGACATGGAACAGACACCTGACATAAGTTCTCTTGGACAGACACCTTAATAAAATTAGAGGTAGAGAAAAGAGCTTAACCAGTTTAAATCTTTGAATCACGTGTAGTCAGTCAACGAAAGACGAAAGGTACCAAATAATTCAGTCTTATTTTTACAATATTCTTATTTGTTTTGTGCCATAAATAAAGAAAGAGCAACAAGTAAAATATTTGCGGTACTTACTTTATCATTTATTGAGAATATTATACCAAAGGAAAAAGTGGAATAAACCATTTTATTCTGAGCATAAGTATGCTTGCAAAGTTGCAAAGGCAAGTTCAGCGCCCCCTGGAACCTTGCGCCCTAGGCTCCAACCTGGTTAAACTGTGGATAAATCAGGCCCTACCCCTGGGTAGCAAAATGTGAGACGAAGTTTTGAAACGACATTGAGATTGAAAATCCTTAGTGAAATTTAGGAATAATAGTGAAATGTAGAAATAAAGAAGGGTGAAAAAATTAACTTTGAATAAAAAATATTTATTAAAGTTTTTTTTTTATAAATACAGGTCTGTAATAAATATGTCCTGTTTACCACTACTGAACATGGGTCTCCCCCACAAATTGCCTTAAGACACGGTCCTAAACCACCAGGCTGCCACTTAGGAACATTTGTTACATATTGCCACTTCAGCTTACTAGCCGAAAAAGGATAGAGATGACTAATAGATAAATTTATGTTGTAATCAATTAGATAGTTACACATAACATTATTTCTAATATATTTGTATTATTTACAAATCATCAAAACGACGAAAGAATTGTTTGCTTGAGTTTTGACCAATTTCTATCAGTTCTAAAAACAGGTTGTTTTAATTAACCTCGTAACTTAAAGAGTGAATGTGCTTAAGTGGTACGCAATTTGTAACGCGGATCTAACGTTGTTTTCAAAATAAATAAGCTTTCAACTTTTACTGTGCTACTGCCGATGAGACAGAGAGAGGGAGAGAGCTTGTAAAATAAAATTATTACCGAGGGATTTAATATTAACTCGGTATTGTTACTGGTTAGGTACTAAGTAATTCTTGTCTTAACTAACTATGCCTAGTTTTAATCTTTAAAATAGTCACTGTACGTAATAAAAACCGTTCATTTTTTTTACCAAGTACGTTTATATACTCGTTAGATTAATACTAACCACTATCAGCAGGGCTAGCATGTGTACGCAGTACTATTATTTATTCTGTGGCATGGGCCGGATACATTTTATTCACGGCTAAGGGACAAAATGTTTATTCCCCAAGTTTTATCCACCCTTCGAGCATAGCACACTGGTGGAAATAATATCCACATTCCACACTCAACAGTAGATAAAATGAGAGATCCCCGCAATTATTGCCATTATAAGAACATTACAAAATACATACTTCAAAACTGATGTCAAAAACAAACAAAAAGTCATTATTTTTTATCTGTGATCGTGATTTTGACAGTTTAAGTTTTAGTTTTTCTATAAACAAATAAAATTAACGTAACGTAACAGGCAGATCGCTATCGGTCGGGGTCACCCGCCGCAGGGACACCAGTACACTCACACTCTACTGCAAACTGCAAAGTGCATCGTAAATTTGCTAATAGATAATGGGATAGGCCGTCTGCTTATTCAGCCCGTTTTGCCTGTTAGTGTGGGTCGTTGAACTTGCTATTTGTTAACAAAGTGTATAGTAACTATTATAGGTTAGGAGCAATAGTAATAGCTGCTTATTAAAGTTAAAAATAACTGCGCCCTGTATTCTACTTTCTAAACGATATATTATATCAGAAAACTTCAGATTTCTGTAAAAGATGGGTATTTGAAATCAAAATATGTTCTACCTTTATTAAATACAAGACATCAAAGAACTCGACCACACTCACCAAGGTTTTACGTTCAGCAGATTGCACTTTAAGCGAGCATCATTTGAGTGCATCCTAAAGGTATTTTTACAATAAAATGCAACCAACTCGTATGAACCCCGGAGATTAAAATAAACCAAGGATCACCTCATATTTAAGATTCTGGCGAAAGGTTTAGGCCATAGGAGGTCCCAAAGATGTTCTTTCACACATGCACATTATTACCACACATACAATTTACACATTACAAATGTATTTTTTAAAGAGTAAGGGTGCCAATAGAAACAGAAACTTTATTCAATATAGATTATAAATAATTTTTATTGAAAGTCACTCTTTTGTTTAATTACCACTGGTTCGAAAAAAAAACAAAACAAAACAAAAATAATCGAGCACACATTTTCCTCATGGTAAGTGGATGTACAGGCCCATAGACATCTACATCTGTCCTCGATAAGGATTCCAAATTCAGATTTGTTGTCACCCCTGAGGAATAAGATGGGATGTCTCTATGCGAGTAAAAAGGGTCTTCGGATCTCTAGACTATACGAGATACAGCAACATTAAGCTGCTATTTTACGTTGGTATTCTGTGAGAGCGAGATCCTTCTCTGGTCTCGCCTATTATTTCGTGCTACAACCATAATATAGTTGCAGTGTGACTCTACTACTTTTAAAGTAGTAAACACACACAACAAAATTATGTATATAGTCAACAACACCAATGTATATAAACAAGAAAAACAACCCTCCGGAGGCAGTAGAGTAAACGGTTAAGAGTTTGGACGAAGGCTCAACAAAAAACGTCAGTCATTTAAATCAGTTTTATTTATTCATTCATTCATTCGATAAGCTGTATCGATAGTGCGCTGCTGAACAATGGCCTTCCTCGTAGCTCACCTCATAGGGGAGATATTTGCATAGTTGCCACGTTTTGCGGGCGGTTTGTCCATCTCAGTCTATTTTATTATTTTGAATTGTTGCCAGGAGCATGCTTCTGTACCTGTAACATCTCCTCTTTCAAATCTCTCTGTCGCCTCTTACAACACACATCACATTGGTCCTACCCCGGTTGAGCCGATTCTTGCTACAACCATAATATAACTGCAGCATATACCATCTATCAGCTCTACCACGTAAAAATCTATCCAGATTTGTACGTGGTAGAGCCAATATGACGACAAATAATGCAATTTAGATTGCACAACATACGGCAAATAACGCAAAGTTTGATTGCTTCAAGTTCTTATAAACATTAAGTTGACTAACAGTGCGAAATTAAAGACTTCTTCAGACAAAAACTGGCAAGTTATTCTAGGAATGTCCTCACTATGAACTAAATATTATGGTATTAGTGAGTTTTTTAAATTCAAAAAGCTATCTAAAGAAATTCTATAAAAACTGAATGAGGTATCGCTACTACGCTAAAGTATTGTACTTATTTATTTAGTGATTTATGTGGAGGATGATCAAGTGAACTTAGTACATTATTCTTATCACAAATTGCATCGTATATTCGAAGAGTTGCTCTCGGCGACTGTTTCCAGAATGCTGGTGTGATGATGACTTTCTTTGTATTTTACTCACTTAGAATGAGATTTTTTTACGAATTATGTTGGCATATAGAATATTTGTTTGTGTTCTTGGAAACTCATGTTAGGCACTGTAGTAACGGGGCAGTCAAGCAACATTCTTAAAATATTATTATATTGAACGCGTAAGGCATTCAGCGAGTAAAACTCGCGTAGTTAGAAACTCTGACAGGATACCCCAAAAAGTGTAATATTGACCTAATCAGCACAATGAGAGAAAAAAAAGAGCTACGTAACGAAAATATAACAACCACGGACCGCGAATGTCCTAATTTCCATATCTATAGACATCTATAAAAAGATATAGCGTTACTTTGCGGAAATTCGTTATATTAAGATGTAAAAATTTATTTAGCTAATGATTATTTTATTTTATTCGGGGAGCTTACAGTTACATTTACAATCTAGATCACTATA